GACTCAGAACAAATCTCATGTCTGTATTAATGCCTGTGTCTGTATTAATGAGCATGCTTAATTGTGCTTGGAGCATATGCAGCTACATTATGTTAGCAAATAGGCGTAACTTTGGCGTGGCTACACCAACACCATTATTTTGTTACATTTTTCAAGGGAAAGCAACTTACGTGAGAAATAACTTGTACGCAAAGTTGTTGTGAAAACTTATTTTGCAGGAAACTAGAACTGGGTTATTTCAAAATCTGCTAGGCTGAATATCATTTGTTTGGAAAGAAAAGTAATGTTCATCAGATTAGTTCAAACTTCCCTACCTGTTAGGACGAGGGCCTGGTATATCAAGCCTCGGCATGTCAGCGGATCCAAACCCAAACTCCATTGCGTATCTTCACTTATTTTTGTTTCAGAACTGGGGATCTGGATGCTGTAAGCTGCAGAGCTGGTACTCTAAACTTCCCTGCCTGCGCAGTGAGCACCCCTGTTAGTGCGAGAGAGACGCTTGCTCTCCAGAGATTGCCTGTTTAATGCAGAATTCTGTACTTCCCATGGGGGGGGGACACACGACACAGCCCGGGATGCAATGAGAATATTAGCTACAAGTATTTACAACAAAGATGCCCCAAGCAGTAATCCTGCTTGTGGTTTTAGAGACTGAAATGAGTTGCTTGTGCTGCAAGTACTTTAATAATGTGGTTAATTAGCTGCTTTTCTCTGTTGGGAGGATATTTTTCCCCATGTTCTCTCTGTCACAATTGCGAGTATGAAGGTTGGAAGCCATGCAGAAGTGCAGGCAGACACTTTTTTTTTTTTTTTTTTAAAAGCTATGGAGGTCAATGGTGCACCTGATGCATGTGGATGTTGCCCAGTGCGTAGTTTAAGAACAGTCTCATTTTGTTCCCTCCGCCAACAGGCCCATCAGAAGGGGGTGAGTCTCTACAAGGGCGAGTTCTAGCGGAATCACTTCGGTCTGGGGGTGGAGGAGTGCTGGGGTTCTTTGTTTTGTTTGGGGTTTTTTTTTTTTGGTAATATCTTCACTGCATACAGAAAATGTTTGCCTTATAATCTGGTTCCACGTGGAGACAAGATCCCTGCTCCTGCTTTGCCTTTCAGTGTTCCTGTAAGCCCTCTCTTCTAGTTGAGAGGCTTTGAATCCGCTGGCCAGTGCGGTGAGACTTGGCCGAGGAGCGGGTACGTCGGGTGTGTTAAGGCCCTTTAGGTTTACTCAGAACAAACACACCATCGACAGCCAGGCCTCCTCTTGTGTATCCTGTGCTCCCTAGCTGTCTTAACGGCCTCCTAAGAGGGCTCGTCTTCCCAAAGTTTTGCCCCACCAGTAAGACTAGAGATTAGCAACATACACTAATAGTAAGATTATAAACTCAGCAGCCGATCTGTTGTTATAAATGCCCTTTGATTTTACAATCAATCAAAATAATGCAGGACTAATTTAGGATTCTGCATGGCTTAGTTTTCATTATGAAATGCTCTTTCTGTACCTTTGCTGCTCCAGAGGAGGAGTTTGTTGCTACTCTTTGACTTCCAACAGAGCATGACTTTGGAAAGACTACAGAAGCAACATATTGTTCAAGTTCCCTGAAATGCAGCGGTTGGCATTCTGCCTGAGATGAGGTCCTCCTTTAATCGTAAAGCATATTTGGAACTGCCTTGGTGGTGGTGTCTGAACCCTCTCTCGTGCGTAGGATAATCCGCCCTTTGTTTCAGGAAAGGGGTCATCCGTTATCAGGGATACCAGATTATTGGAGCTTGTCTTCTGAGCAGTCTTGGGGGAAAGGGAGAAGATCTGCAGGGTTTTCCAGAGCTGGAAGAAAATAAATTCTGTATAAAACGACAGCTTTAACATTATAATTTTTATATGCTCATCTTGCTGTAAATCGGCTTTTGTTTTCCAAGAGAAAACCTCTACACCCTTAGCGCTTAGTGCAGAGAGTAATAAAGTGGTCTGAGATGGTAAGATTTTCCTACCCTGTTTTTAGCTGGCCAGCTGAAATTGTGGAGCACAAAAGGCGCCCTGGAATCACCAAGATCTAGTGGCTGGTGTGAACAGAGCGTCCCCCCACTGCAGAGGCAAGGGCTGCCGGCAGCGATTCCCGGGGCTCACTCAGTGCAAGGGCTGGCATGCTCCATTAGCCCGGGGTTACTGGTTCATCCGCCCATTTCCTCATTTAGGTACCCCTGAAACTTGCCAGCACTGCCAGATTAAGGCTTTGTATATTCATGTATTGCACCGGGAGGTCTTACATCAATATAAACATGTCCTATCAGTTAATTTAACAGAAGAATTGGCATGAGTATCCACGCTGACACTTGTACTGCTTTGATGAAGTTGTCTTTTTGTTTTGATTTCAAGACGATGTGAGGAGTTGGAGTGTGGGCCTGCTCCCTTAGCAGGCTTTAAATGGCACAGTTCGTGTTTTGAAGCTTTTGCAAGGGAGAATGTACAGCGTTCATCCGTGTGGGCATACTTTTGTGGGTAAATGCGAATATTGTGAAGAAACTGAGTTTGAGCTTTAGTTTTAAAAAATTGGATCTGTATTTGTCTATATGTTGTATATATGCGATATGTATATGTGCAGTGCAATGTATGTTTTGTGCGTGTATGTGTGTATATTTGAATGGGAAGTATATTTGGATCCCCAAGATACAGGCTGAGGCTGGGAGCAGCTCTCGAACAGCAGAGGCTTCCCTGTAGCCTGCAGGCAAGGCTCCAATTCTACCTGGCCCAGCCTAGCAGACGTACTGATAAATGCTTCACGGAAAAGGCTACCACGTTATGGAACAGAAGGATAAACACAAAAAACCCCCCCAGTGACAGTATGGTATAGATCATGATTTGGAGAGCGCTGAGGTTGAGGGAAGGGGTACGGGGCGTCGTATAAAGGTGCGTTCGTAAAGCAGCCTGCGTTCTCTTCCTCAGTGCCATACTGGACAGCCCGAGGCCGGGGCGTTCCTGGGGTCGGGAGGCTTGTTCCCGTGCTGCAGTCAGGCTGCCTTAGTTGTTGGGGCCTGCGCCCACTGCAGCTCGGATGCTGAGTGTTCGGGCAGCGGCGCTCTCGTGTAAAGGCTGGCCCAGAGCGGAAACCAAACGCTTTGCAGACACAACTCCTGGACGCGCTGCTGTGATATTTGGTCACAACAACTACTGAAAAGGTGTAATCGCGTACTGGGGGAACCGGTCGGACAGCGGGAGGAACAGGGCTGGGAGGTGTGTGTTCGTTAGCCTGTGAATGGTTTTCTCACACTAATAAACCCATAACCATTGTCTGTGCAATGCTTCTTGGCAAACGTGTCTCTTCGACACCAGAAAAGGTCGCACCTAAGATTGTGTCTTCTGCCTGTGAAAATCCACGTGTGATGCCATTCGTGCTGCCAGCTGCTGTTCTGGACCTAAAGAAACCCTCAACACGTAAGAAATAGAACATGGTTACGTGTACCCCTGTAGAGAAGGTTTAGATAGGAGGAAAAGAAAGAAACCTGTGCACCACACAGACCAGTGCAGACATTGTGCCTAGGGGAGAACGCGTCACAGCGCAGGCGTTTAAAGGTGCTGTTCCGCCAGGAGATGCTTGTGCTGGAGAGAGACCCAGGGGCGACGGCGTCGGACTGACGGAGCGCTCCATGCACCAGAGCAGGAGGACAGATTGGTTTGTTGCACGTGGGTTTGCTACCGTGTCGCAGCTCCTCACCGGCAGTGACGCTGCGCCGCTGGCTGTACGTAGGAGGCTGCGCTTCCAAACGGAGAAAGATCTAAACTGAGGTGGTCAGGGAAAGGGAAAAAAAAAAAAAAGATAGCGTGTTCAGTGTAAAATTTTGATCAGAGCCGGAGTTTGCTGTTGAAGGAGACCTGTTTCCAGTTACTTCAGTTCTTGGAACAGGGAAGGAGAATAATTAGCACAATGTGAGGGGTTTTTTCATTCTCACAGTTTGGAAGAAACCAGAAGGAAAACACAGCCAAAATGTAGGAAAACTGTATTGATTTTTTTCTGCACTGCTTCGACAGATTTTTTTTTTTTAAATGGATCATTTTTAATACATCGTGTAAAACAGTTTTACTGCTTAAATGCAGTTTTCTTTTGGTTTTGGGGGAAAAAATATAGGTATTCTCCTCTCTCCAATGTTACTAGTTGTTCCTTGTTTTTTTAATGACGTAGGCAGGGCAGAAAGCTCCTGATCCGTGTCTTTGATAACATTTACCATCCAGTATCCTCTTACAGTGCTCTGTTCTTCAGCCTTTTTCACCCACTGTGGCACTATTAACGATTTACTTCATCTTCTGTTTTTTTCAGTAAGAGTATTTGGGGTTTTTTTTTTCAGACTTTTGTCTTGTTTGGGTTTTGTGACTTTATTTTGTACCTCTGTGGTGTGGGAATGATCGGCGCAGCTCACAGTATCAGCAGTGATTGAGCGCTGGAAAAAAAAAAAAAAGATAGCGTGTTCAGTGTAAAATTTTGATCAGAGCCGGAGTTTGCTGTTGAAGGAGACCTGTTTCCAGTTACTTCAGTTCTTGGAACAGGGAAGGAGAATAATTAGCACAATGTGAGGGGTTTTTTCATTCTTACAGTTTGGAAGAAACCAGAAGGAAAACACAGCCAAAATGTAGGAAAACTGTATTGATTTTTTTCTGCACTGCTTCGACAGATTTTTTTTTTTTAAATGGATCATTTTTAATACATCGTGTAAAACAGTTTTACTGCTTAAATGCAGTTTTCTTTTGGTTTTGGGGGAAAAAATATAGGTATTCTCCTCTCTCCAATGTTACTAGTTGTTCCTTGTTTTTTTAATGACGTAGGCAGGGCAGAAAGCTCCTGATCCGTGTCTTTGATAACATTTACCATCCAGTATCCTCTTACAGTGCTCTGTTCTTCAGCCTTTTTCACCCACTGTGGCACTATTAACGATTTACTTCATCTTCTGTTTTTTTCAGTAAGAGTATTTGGGGTTTTTTTTTTCACTTTTGTCTTGTTTGGGTTTTGTGACTTTATTTTGTACCTCTGTGGTGTGGGAATGATCGGCGCAGCTCACAGTATCAGCAGTGATTGAGCGCTGGAAGTGCGTGCATCATCCCAGCGCAGGGCACGGGAAGGAGGGGGTGCTGCTTTCTGCTGAAGTGCTGGCAGATAGAAGGCGTACCCGTTCTCCTAAGTACAGGCTACCGTCCTTTATCTGGCCAGCAGCAAGGAGCTCGTTGTGTGTCTGAACTTTTGACTGTAATGAAGTACAGGATAGATTAATCACAGGTAATTTAAAGACCCTCTTTAAGAAGATAGCAGTACTTTCCTAAGAATGAAGGCATGGGGTTGAAGGGCAAACCTTGTGTGACCGTGCTTTGTGTGTGACAGTGGCATCCCAAGAGAAATCATCTAAATGCCTAAAATTATTTACCCTGTAGCGTACTCTTCTGTCAGGCCTTTATCAGTTACTCAAGAAAGTGAGAGGTTTTGAGACTTGGTCCCAAAAGAATATCAGAAACCCCAGCTGGGAGCAGCTAACTAATCCTCTATTGTTATTGGTAAACTACTACTAGAACATTAGCCAGAATTGTATTCCTGGAGCCCAGCTTGTGCTGTACGCAGTGCCCAGGGCAAGTCATAAAGAGATCGAACTGCATTTAACCTCGTTAAAGCAATCCATCGAACTCTGTGTACTCTACCGAAAAGGATCATCACTCCAGAGCGCATCAGTGTGGTCCAAATTGCCCTCCTACACAAAACGCACCGGTTGTGTTCCGCCTGTCCTAGTGCTAAATGGCGTGCTTCATCTCGGCGCTGATGCACGCATCTTCCTCAGTGATGCTGGCGCAGGAGGGAACTGGAGCTGCAAAGATGACGAAACACGCTTCTGATCAGGAGGCGTTTGGGGAAGGAGGGGGCAGCACCGTGGTGTCCAGTCTCGTTTCCAGGTCCATGTAGCGGAGATGTCAAGGTATGCTGCTGTAAGGGCTTGGGGAAGACCACGGGATGTGCTGGCGTACTCGGGGAGGAGGGAGTACCTGTCTGCTAATTTCCCTTCTCTCTTGCTACTGTCTCGCTTTGTTCTGCTGTCAGATCCTTTGGTGTACGAAGCAAACAGCTCAGACGTGATTGAGTATTCCTCAAGGATGGAAATGATCTACTCGGAGGTTTGGGTTTAATGCTCTCTTGGTGGGATGGGGACTAATAGCTAGCGGTCTGGAGGAAGCAGTTCTTGTTGTCTGTTCACGTGCCTTCTGCACGGATTAGTTTGACGAGGTTATGAGAGTTGACTTGAGTCTTTTCCCTGGGCACCTCGCTGCTCAACAGGACAGACAGCAAACGCCGTGCTGCAGGCCTGGGAGCCTGGCATCGCTCTCGATTTGTAGAGCAGCAAAAGAAAATATTTGCTTTCTGTTAGCATGCTATAAAAATGCATGCCGCAGTTTTGGTTGTCGGTACCTGAACTGTACATAGCTGAATCAAAGGTGGTGTAACTCTCCACGGTTAAGATGAAAAATGTTATTTTCAAAGTTTGCGTTTCTTGTTATAGAGCAACTATGCTGGATTTGAGCGAAGGGTCTGCAAAGCAGTTAGTCTGTAGTCAAACTTCCAGAACGCAGAGGTGCAAGAATACCTGAATGGAAAAGGGAGAAGGCTTTCCTGATTAACTTTCTTTGGATTTTTAGGAAACTTTCCTGTGTTTATTAAAAGCAGTATCAGATCCATAATCTCAGGTTTTAACCAAAGTTGGAATTTATTTTTAAAAAGTTCAGCATGTAAATATTTCAATACTCTGGAGTGCTGCATGTGCTCTGGATTTGGAGGAGATAACTGTCCAGGGTCAGTTGTACTTCAGATCTGTCCATTTGCCAATTTCTGCATTTTGGAAAGCAAGAAATACTACTAAAGCTGGCCCTAGCCATGTTATCTCTAATGAACTCGTAGCGCGATGTTCCCCTTAAGGAAGGGAAGTCATAATCCGGATCTGATCTATTTTTAGACGCTTCCATAGAATTTTTCTTCGCAGGCAGTGTCAGGCCTTTCCCTGTCGCTCTTGGCTTTGCCGCTGTGTGTTCTGTACAAACGCAGCCGTTTCCAGCTGCCTGCTGACAGTAGCCCGGATGCAATGGGAAGAGCTCAGGGGATGGAATGGAAATGTGGCTAGGCTAGCAAGCTAAAGATTCCCTAAAAATTTAGTCACTGACCTGAAATCGTGCCGGTTCCAGTTAACGTGGTCATTGCTTGGGTTTGGATGGTAATGATTACTTGCTTGCTTCATAGAGTTTAAACTTGACCTTGGCACGTCTTTGCCTGGCTTGCAGCCATTTTTGGTATACCTTCAGTATGCATTTTCTAGTTCTGCTTCTCACTTGTGTGGTGCTTTGGTTTGGTTTATATTGCACTTAACTGAAGAGCTCCGTTTCAGGCTTACAGATCTAACGATCTCAACATTGCCTGGCAGTTACTAAGAAAAAAACTTTTCCTCCTGGTTCTGTTCTTTGTTAATTCCTACGGTTTTGTAAAAGTCGATCTGATCAGAAAGGGTGAGGGCTGCTTCTGCTTGGATCAGGCACACATAGGTCTCAAACTCTGGGCAAGTTCTCTCTCTTCTGGCAAGCACGTAAGGAGCGATGTTGAACTGTTCAACTGCTGTTGCGATGAGCAATGTCAGTGTTTTGCTAGTTTTTACAGTCCCCGTACAGTTCTGTTCTGACGGGTACTGGAAAGCATTTCGGTTCTGTGCAGTCCGGGTGCTGATCATTCTGTCGTCCCCGTGTCTGCCTAGAGGATGCTCGCCACAGCATGACGCTAACTTCTCCAGAGTGACTTTAGCAAGAGGGAAGGAGGTTTGTTGCAATAAGGGGGTATAAATGGGCCTCCCCGCCTGCCTTTCACCATATCGCTATACAAACATTTCACCCTGAAATGTTTTTTCTCATCTGCCTGTGTCTTAAGCATGAAAGCTGGGTAGTTGAGGGGAAGGTGGGACTTGGACACGGACGTGTGCTGCTCCCAAACTGACGCCACAGCCTCTGGTCCCTCCGAACGTAACAGCCTGTACTGCCTGCATGTTCCCTTGCGGCAGGAGACAGCCCTGACCTGCTAGCCCGTTGCTGCTGAACGCGAGGCAGCTTTGCCTCCTCTTCCCACCAACTCACAGTTCAACATCGCTCCTTACGTGCTTGCCAGAAGAGAGAGAACTTGCCCAGAGGGACGGAGGACGTTTCGGAAGGAGTGGGAGGAGGAGATGAAGGCTGGCTGGAATTTTCCTGAGAGTTCTTGGGCTCTTCTCCTTTGGCAAGTAAATACTCCCCTTCCGAGGCCTGCAGGCTTACAGTAGCTGCTGGCACAGCGTCAGGAGCTGCGCACTGTTGCACTGAAGCACACTAATTCTGTTGGGTTTGCAAGCACAGTTAAGAGCTGGTCATGCTCTGGCAACACTGACAATGCCCATTTGCTTTGCTGTCATTTTTTCTTGCAGCATCTCGAGCTTTGAAGAGCGTAAGCAGCCAGACCTACTTGCAGACCCAGCAGATTTATCCCAGCCAAAGTATGTATGAGACTGTAAGCTCAATCAAAAGTTCTGGCAGTCTGACATCCATCCTCTAGCCGTGGACTTCAGTGAGCTTGCTGAGGAGCACGTACACATCAAATTCATTAGTTTCTGGAATGGGCAGTAACTTCTGGAGGGAAAAATTACTGTTCGATGCAACCTCAAGATACGCCTGTGTCTCTGGATGACAGAAAATAAGAGAGAAAAGAGTAAGCCGGAGGGAGAAGAAAGTTTATAGGAAAAAGGGCAGCTGAGATCTGAGTGTCTTAGAAGCTGTCTCGTATGACGGACGTTTTACTTAACCCTCCCTAATACAAATGTACGCCGCTCCCAAGGCATGATGGCAGAAGGGGGAGGCTGTTGCATAGTGCAGGCTCCAGCAAGCACAGGATAGCACTGAAGTGACCGTGAACGGAACGGTTCATCTCTCTGTGCTTCGCTCACTGCTAAATAGGAGTAAATCTCTCTTCTCCACAGGGATCATATTCTGGGGTTTGGATTAAAGACAATGAGTTTTCCTGTGATTCCCAGCTGGAGAATGACAGAAAAAATGTTAACTTCCCCGGAGCTGGCATTGACGCTGCGATGGGTTGGTGTCCTACCGCTGCTGTCTGTGCAGAGCCTGAAGACACGCTCTCGGCTCACGCGGAGAGGCGCCATTTCTGAATTCCGTAAGATACCTGGCTTTCAGGACTGAGGTCGGGACAGTGTGTTGCCTCCTTTAATTACACTTTGAGAATTAGTTTCAGATCTGGAAGAACACAAGAAGAAGAACTGGTCAGCATTTATGTATTGCTCTTACATTGTACAAAGATGACTCAGAAAGAATCTTCTTTTTATTAAAAAAAAAAAAAAATAGTAGTAAATATTTGGTAGAGAAGAGCCATCTGAAAGGCTCCTGTGTGTTGCTGCCAACCTTTTCAAAGAAGAGTTAAATTCTGGAGTTTCAGCATGTGATTCCAGAATACCCAGATTAATATTTATTCAGAATGTAAAACCATCCGCATTAAATGTGGGGCTGTCCCAGCTAATGCTAACTGTGTGTTTACAAACGCCTGTCTACTTGAGGCACAGTGTTCTAGCCTTCCTGCGGCGAGGTGGGGTCGGTGAGCTGTCTGCCTTACGGCGTATCTGCCGTATGAGTTTCCAACCGCTTCAGCACACCTGCTGTACAAAAGACCGTGCTGATAAATGGCGAGTGCCACGCGCTCTCCAGTCTGTTGACACAGGGATGACTCAGGGTTCTTGGGAAGCATTTCAGTAACTCATTTAGCTGATTTAACCTTGCTACATAGCGTCTTAATTGTACAAAACTGTTTTATAGGCCTGTTGTGTTTTACAGGGGTTATCGGCCTTTGCAGAGCGTGCAGCATCAACGGCCCTGTGCTTCCTGGCTCTAATCTGGCACTGAGGACACGTTGGCAGAGGCGCTCCAGCACTGGGCACGCTTGTGCCCTGCTGTTGTTAGTGCGTTTCGTTGTATCTCCCCTTCTAGTTTTGCACCGACTTAATTAAAGCTGATGCAGGTATGGCCGCTAGCGGTCGCAGTCATGCTGCCTGCTGGGACACGGGTGTACCTTAAAGCTGGAGTCAATTGGTAGATCGTGTGAACATGTGCTTTGAGGAACTAGAGGCCAGAACCTGCTCTTTCAGCCCCTGGTGCTATTGCAGTGGTGTCCATTTTTTTAAATCTTCTAATGTTGGTGATAGCAGGCCCTCTAGAGGGTGATTTGATCACAGAAGTGTGTGGGGTCAGGACCAGAAGTCAGTCCAGTGCAGTAGAATTAAGGAGCAGTTTCATGAAGCTATTTTAAGCTGACTTGAGCCTGTACTGCAGTCAGAAAGGGTCCTGTCCCGCGCTCATCGTTGTGCTGGCACCAATGCTGATCTGGGTGACCATACAGCTGCACATCTTGCTTACCCAATGGGAAAGAAAAGTTGTACCAGACTAAGAAGCTAAACTCAGCAGCTGAGTGGCCACATGAATGCTAGTTCCAGCACGAAGAAATGGCTAAGAACACATGGCTGTGGCTAGCAGGAGGTCAGCATCTCTTGTCACTGGCCACACGGCCTTAGAAGAGTGTGAGCTGCTTGTGAGGCTGCACCTTGTAGCATGAATAGCAGTGACTTCCCCAGAGAACTAGGAAGACAGATTGCAAATTGAACAGACTTTACTGTGGATATTTTTGAAGTGGGAGGCTGCTGTTCTCTAAGTGAGAAGTCAACGTAAAGGTCCGTGCCTCAGCTTGGACCTTCAGTTGGGGAAATGAACTGCCTGTGGAGATGTCCTCAGAATCGGCCTCTTGGCTGGCCGTTGATAAATGACTTCAGTATGAGTTACTGACAGAACAGAAGTAAAGTTTGGCTTAAAAAGGCACGTACCTTTAACTTCCTTTGCTTTAGAGAACAGTTTGGCATTGCAGGAACAAGTCAAATGTACGCGTGCCTTCCTGAAGAAAACGGGAGTTTACCTGTTACTCAAGCCTTTCTTTTTTTTTTTTCTTTTCCTTTTGCAGGAAAAGCTGCAAGTCGTTTAATGACCAAATAAGGTCTCCATTCTCATTAATTATCTGGTATGCTTCTCCTGGAGCCATGGATGAATACAACCGCTTTGTGGATTGGGACAAAATGGATGTTACTGCCCAGAGCCAGGACGCGAAGGAGCTGACCTGCACAGAGTTCCAGGAGCTCAAACAGCTGGCCCGGCAGGGCTACTGGGCCAAGAACCACTCTCTGAGAGCCAAAGTGTACCACAAACTAATCAGCAATATCCCATGCCGCACAGTGACCCCAGATGCAAACGTGTACCGGGACATCGTTGTGAAGATTGTTGGAAAACGTAGCAGTAGCTCCCTTCCGCTACCAGAGTTTGTGGATAACAGCCTGGTCCCCACGTACTGCTTGAATGCAGAAGGCATCGGGGCAGTCAGGAAGATTATACTGTGCATTGCGAATCAGTTCCCGGACATATCGTTCTGCCCAGCGCTGCCTTCTGTGATAGCTCTGCTCCTCCACTACAGCAAAGATGAGGCAGAGTGCTTCGAACAGGTTTGTCGCATCCTTGCTTGCAATGACCCATCCAAGCGGCTCATTGATCAGACGTTCTTAGCCTTTGAGTCCTCCTGCATGACCTTTGGAGACCTGGTTAACAAGTACTGTCAGGCAGCACATAAGCTGATGGTGGCAGTGTCTGAGGATGTGTTGGAGGTGTACTCCGACTGGCAGCGGTGGCTCTTCGGGGAGCTGCCTATGGTGTACATCGCTCGGGTCTTTGATGTCTTTCTGGTGGAGGGCTACAAAGTTCTCTATCGTGTTGCACTGGCTCTTCTGAAATTTTTTCACAAAGTCAGAGCTGGGCAGCCCATGGAGTCTGACAGCATACAGCAGGACATTCGAGCTTTTGTGAGAGACATTGCCAAGTCGGTGTCTCCGGAGAGGCTTCTGGAAAAAGCCTTTGCTATCCGCCTCTTCTCGCGGAAGGAGATCCAGCTTCTGCAGATGGCCAACGAGAAGGCTTTGCAGCAGAAGGGCATCACAGTCAAACAGAAGAGGTAGGGCTCTCGCTACAGGTAGCCTGAGTGACCTCCTGAGTTCTCCCAGCGTGACAAGCGGTCTGTCCGTCCTGGGTGACTGCTGGTGGGGAAGGAGAAGAGCTCTACTGGTACATGCTGGTATCTGCAGAAGTGGTCAGCAGCCCCCAAATTAAGCGTTGCTGGGATTGTAAACAGAAGTGTCACTGAATGTTGTGATACAAGAGAAACAAAGCAGTTTCTCATAGCTCACTCAGTGGTGAATTTATAATTACTTTTTACAGGTACATATTAAGTGCAGGTATTGTATCTCAAAAGTGTCTTCCACAAAGCTGTTTTTAAACTAAAAGGCATTTTCGCAAAGCTGGAACAAACACTGACAAATTACTTGGAAGAAAAGTACCCAAACAGATGTGATAATCAGTCGTTAAATATGAGATTATTTGTATAAATTGTCAATTGCCCAGTACTGTCAGTTCAGCAGTTTCTTTAGTGCAAGTAGGCAAACACTGTCCCAGCTGGGAATGTTTTGCTTAGCTGGGGAATTAGTTTAACAGAGCAAGGAAGAAATAGGTTTTGTTTACAGGTTGCTTTTTAAATCAGTTTGACTGCAAGCCTACCGAAGTCATGACTGTAGTAATCCTAGGTAGGAGCTGGCCTATTTTGTGACAGGTCCATGTGCTATTAGAAATAATGATTTTGAACCATGGAAGAGAATAAGGGTACTGATCCCAACGATGGTTGTGTAATCACAGTTCCTGTTCAGAAACGAGGGGAGGAAAAGCCAGCTGTAAAAGCAGTAAATGAAATCCTGCTCCAATGTGATAGTAAAAGCCACAATACCAAAAAGCTTAGCTGAAAGACCTCTCCATGTATACAGAAAAGGCAGCAATGTATTAACTAAACAAAGTTAGTATCTTGCCGAGTTCAAATGTGTGTGCAAGTAAATACTGGAGCTGCAGACATGTTTGGTTTCTCCTAGGGCCTGCTGTGACTGCAGAAAACTTCTCCCAACCGCTGTTGAAATCTAAGTCTAAGTGTTGAATGGTTTTATCAGCTGTTCTGACCTCTGAAGGGAGGATGACTTCTAGAAGTCTGCTGGGGTCAGTAAGTGTGGTGTCTAGAACTGGGTGTTCTAGGGGGACAGCCTTTCATTTTCTGAAAAATCTTTAAAAATCAAAAGGTACCGGCCACTGATGTATGAGGATCTTTGAGCCAATTGTGTTGCTGAGTGAGTCACAGTGGTTCCAAACAGGCATCATTCCATGGCATTCAAATATATACTTAACCAGATTTCAGCCTATAAATAATGTCAATGTTGGCTGAACCTCATTCGTGTGCCCAAATACCTGTAGGGTTTCCCCCAGTCTTTTCCAGGGGTTTGTTTTGAGACTCACGGTTCGGTTTACAATGAGCTTGTGCTTTACCTTGCTCACATCTTGGAAGAGACTGCTCTGTCAGTCTCGGACATTTCAAGGCCTTTAGCCACTGGAGTGTCACATCGGGGGGAGTTCACACCATTCTATCTGGGACTTGCAACCAGAAGTATTAACTCTTAGGGCGTGTGGCTTCTCCTCACGTGCTGGAGTTCAGAAGAGTTGTAATATCCCTTCTGAGTACGTTCTTCAGCGATGGAATGGGAGCTTTAAAAAAAAAAAAAAAAAAAAAAAAAAAAAAACCTCCACAACAAAAACCCAAACCAAACAAAAACAAATTAAAACCCCTCGAAGTTCCTGCTCTGTTAATGTTGTAGAGGTATTCTTGCTCGGAACAATAGTGATGCCTTTCAAGCAAAATATGGGAAATTCAGACGCAAATAATGCCAGTAGTTACCGTCTTACCAGGCAGAGTTGCTAGCAGAAAACTTTTATCCCCTCTGTGCTACTCTAACATACTGAAACGTCTCAGCGTCCCCTGGCATGGCACTGCTGAGAACTTGGCTCGGTTTGGATCCCGGCGTAGGCAGGTGCAGGTGCTGAAGAAGTGAGCTGTTCTCCAGTGCTCGATAGGGTAGGAGTGAGCTCTCTTGTCCAGATGTGTTTGGCCTGGGCAAGGAGGTGATGAATTATTTTCCAATCTGATAACCACAAGCAGGTAGCAAAAAATGGAAAAAAAGAAATGGGAAATATTTTAACCTGTCTTTTGTTTGTTTTTCTCGTGCTTGGTGATTCGAATCAAACCTTACTTTGTTTCTCTCCAGGCTCCTTTCAGTCACTTTGTCGCGGATGTAGGAAATCACTGATCTTTTCTGTCTTTTTTTTTTTGTTTTTGCCTTTCTCCTTACACGTTCTCCTTCTGTCAATTCCATACCCACTGCACCTCTCCTGTTTGCAGTGTTGCATCTCCCAAAAGGTAGGTTAAAACACTTGAATCTTTGTGCTCTGCTTGTTTCTTCTGTCTTTGGCTGTTGTTTTTCCAGGGCTGCTGTTATTGCTGATGCTGGGGCAGCAGAAGCAGGGCGGCCGTTGTAGCGTCCCATGGCTGTGTAACATCTCTGCATGCACCCTTGCAAAGTTAGTTCAAAGCACCTGCAAAGCTGTAAGATAAGGGATCGTGGGCCCAGCTGCTCAACGTAGCACTTCCATACCGCAATACAAGCCTGTGTTTTCCAGAATGGAGAAGTATGATGGTGGGATAGAAGTCCTTCCTACATTAGGAGTAAAAGTGTTATTTTTTTTAAAAACATCTCGGGTAACGTGTCCTCAGAACTGCTCGGTGTCACCCCGCACCCAACCTGGTATGTGCTGTTGCAGTAGGTGTGAGACACACTGAACTTTTTTCTTCCTTGCAAGCTTTCTGCAGTTGATTGGAAAGGTGTTGGACTGAGCCCAACTTGGCACGGTCTTAAAAGTGACTTGTCTCTGTTTGTAGTAGATTATATTTGGTTTTAAGTAGGTAGGGTGTTTTTAGAGGCAAGAAGACAATTTTCCTGTGTCGAGGAGGTCAGAGTTACTCAGCTGTATAGCATTAATGGTTAATGAAGTCATTCATCAAGTGTTGGCCCAAAAAGCAAATCTTAAAGAACAAACCCCAGTGGATTGTGATGCCTGATAAGCAGGGAACTTGGAAAGGAGAAAGACTGCCCTGGGAGTATCAAGTACTACAGATGTATGGCTTTAAATTAATGCCTTGTTGCAGGTGCCCTGAGTTAACTTCAGTGAGTGATGCACACTAACATACGTACTAATTTATAAAATCAAAATTGGAATTACTTTCCTCGTGTTTTCTTGTCTGAAAGAACACCTGACGAGACTTACCAAAGCATGGTTCGTATCCTGGCCCGCGTGTTGAGAATTTCACCTCTGGTACCTCAGCAGGTTAATTCCAGCCAAGCAAATCTTCCACCTCCCTGTATTATTTTACCATAGTTACAGTGTTCTGACAGTGGCAGGAAGCCTTGATTCCTGCTAGGAAGCACATGGTTGGGGTTTGAGGGGACTTGGGTAGATAGATGCGGGGTGTCTGCTGACACTGATCTCAGCACAGGATTAGGTTTCGGGCTTACGTTGCCATTTACGACTGAGAAACCACATATCACTTCTACCACACATTTATGCCCTAACTGAAATTATAACGGATTTTAAAGATAAAGCAGACCCTGTAAGATTTGCCCCAAACCAAAGCAGAGCGGGAAGGTGTGATTCGGTGAGTCGTGCCTTGGAGCGTGGCGCAGAGCATATCCCCTGCGACAGCCGCTACCGCGTCCCACCACCGTTGGCTTTATCTTCAGAGCTTTGAGGTCTTTGGAGCAGATTGTATTAATGAGATAGCTGTGAAAACAGCATTCCTATGAAAATAGCAAATAAGCTGCTTTATTAAACAAATCCCCTTTATGTTCCGTGAAACTGAGAGGAAAGAAATGTGTCATTGTCAAAAACCCACCAGAGGTTGCACCTGAATCCTTGCATGCAGAGCAAACTGCCTAAAGCTTCGTTTAACCAATGGCTCCCCAGTAATTCGGGATGGTGTGCAAGTTCCTGTGTCACTTCTGCCGCGTACTTGGCTGTCACCCTTGCATTTTAAATCTTTAACATCAGCCGTGGATGCAGTAACACTTGTTTAATCCCCAGGCTCTGAGTTTGTGTGCTTATTTAATCTGAGAAATGGAGGCTGGTTAAGATGATGATGATGATGATTATTATTACTACTTCCTTCAAGTGTTTAAAAGCCATGAATCAGTTCTTGTAATTGCATCAGACCCCTCTGGGGGGCATGGGGGTTTGCTTTTGGGTGTGAGTGTCCAGTGTTCCTTCATGTTTTCAGTCCATAACCATGAACCTAGAAACTTCTTTGGTTCTCAGTGAAGTGGTAGTCATTGGTAATGACATGTTTCCAAGAGGTGGAGCTTTCCAAAAGCTTCAAATATTTGTCTTGGATTAAAATTGCTCAGCCTGGTAACACTGATTCCTCTAAGATACTTGAGGGTTTTAGGAATGCTCTGATTCTGTGATAGAGGCAGGACCTCAGAGGGGAAAAAAGTGCTGCCTCTCCCTTTGGGATCCTGGCTGTTCCTTTGGGTGTTCTGTTCTCTGTGCTTAAATACTAGCGCCAGTCTCAAACAGCAGATCTAATTGGGTCTATTTAAGGTCATGGTCATCCTAGCTGGCTCCCCATTACACCTTTTATAGATAAAGGTGCAGGCCACAGCTGCCATACAGAGGAATTGCTCCCAGGATTTCAATAAGGCCAGGTCACTGCCTCTTGAGGATTACGTTAAAAGTGCAGTAGTTCATTACCTTCACTAAGTCATGGCCTTCTAGTCCCATGGGCTGGAGCTTTGAACACAGCATATCTGCTAGGGTCTTTAGTGTTCAGCTGTCTTTGCACAGTACTGTCCAGTAATCCAAAACTGGGTTTGCTGTTAAATTTTTGTTTCTCACTGTCTTGTACTGTATTCCTCAGGCAGAATGTGCACTTAGCGGTTCATGCTGAGAACTTCAAGTCTGAGATTGTCAGTGTGAAAGAGATGCGAGATATCTGGTCGTGGATCCCAGAGCGATTTGCACTTTGCCAGCCCCTCTTGCTTTTCACCACCTTGGAACATGGCTGTAGTCTGAGCAGGTAAGGAAAACCTTCCCCCCTCTTCCCGACTGTACAGCAAAAAAGAGCGACTGGTGAACTGTTCGCTGGGTTGACGAAAAGGCCATGCCTAGTCAGAACTTGGTCTGAAGAATATTGCTAGTGGTGGGATGTAAATGTGACAAATCCTTTTTGGCTACAGCATTTGACCAGGACACTTTGTATGCCAGAGCATGGCAAGCCATACTGAACTGCCCAAGACCACTTGGAAAAGTCAGACTTGCATCAGTTCACAGAATACTCTGGTCTGAGACTGGTTCGTTCCCACTGGGTGTGAGTGGTTTAACCTGGTAGCTGCTCTGCGGGCTCTTTTGATAAATAACCACATTCAAACTGATCCAAAGAATAAGGGAACTGGAAACTGAAGAGTCCTCTGAATCTGATTGTTGTTATTTTTAAAGTGGAATAAACAAGATAGGAGTTCTCCTTGCACTTGACACAGACGACTATAATCCTATAGATCCTAATAATGACTGCAACATCTGCGGTTGAGGTACTGAGGTGGAGAGTTATCTCCTGTCCCAGCCCCATCTCCCTGTGAGGAAAAGCAAAAGCAAGCAAAGAGAATGCATCATAATTATTTTATGTGAAAACTGAAAACTCTTCAGACGCAGCCATCAGTCCTCAGGACACAATTTCCTTTAGGTTGTCTTAATTCAAAATGGCGTAAAATGCCCCTGTTGTGATGGGTAGCCTTCTAGTTATTCTGCAGTGGCATAAGCAACTGTACAGAGAACCAAGTAGAGACGAAGTGCCTGATAATGCTTGTTTATGCTCAACTGCTACTTATAATGGACTGTGGAAAGTGTTCACAGGAATGTGCTTAGTCTTTAGGTGTCTTTTTTGCCATGCCACCAGTTGGAGGAGGGGGTGGTGCCTGACGGTAAGGAGGAGAACTGCGGTCGGTGGTAGTTGAGGAATGCTCATCTTTGTGTACTCTGCACTTCAGGTTCTATTCGCACAGCGAGGGACACGAACCAACTCTTCTCCTCATCAAGACCACAGCCAAAGAGGTGAGTGAGGTGAAAGACAACTGATTAAATTAGGGTTCAGGCAGTTGTGTAATGCTGTATTGCAATACACGAGTGTTTACGATAAAATGAAGAACCAAGGGACCTGAAATTGCTTGGGATTTGGGCTTTTTTAACAACGTGTGCTTTAAATGGGTCCACTTGTTGATTATGGGACTATGCATTCTCAAGTAAACCTTGTAAGCTAGCTCTTGGTCAGCCATTCGTTCTCTTGTGAGTCATGTGGGATGATGGACTGGAGTTGAGACATTGAGCTCGTGGACAGACTCTTTTAACTGGAGAATCAGAGGGAAAGACTGGGGAATTGTGTTAGGAAACTCGTGGTTCATAGAAGATATTTTCATTTTCTCCAGGATATGAGGAGAGAAAGTAGCAGAATTTAAATGGTATGAATAATATTGGACTGCATAATGTGGAAACAAAAGCTTTAGCTCCATCTCATTCTTGTTAGGAGGAAAAAACAACCACAAACCAAGAAATCTGAGAACCTGAGGAGGAGTGCACGCAGGTGCCTTATCTAAAGAGCGCTGGTTCTCTGCTCTGCTGTGGATAACGATATTGGGCAACATAGTGTGAAAACAGAAACATCAGCTTCATCTCATGCTGGTTTAAAAAAAATGCACAAGACAAGAAAGCTTCCCAGAACCTCCGAAGGAGGGCATACAGGCGCTTCCCGTAACGAGCGCTGGCTGGCTGTGCCACTGTGCATGGCTTGTAAACGTTCTGTGCGTAGCGTAAGCTGTTATTGCAGCCTGTGGGCTTGTATTTCTGCTTATGTTCCTGCAGCATGTCCATGGAGCAAGCCCATTTCTACTCCTACTTGCACCTACCTAATGCTAACACTCCAGGCTGTTTCATAGCTCTGTGTATGGTATCTGGCCATCCCAGGCCTGCGTTGACATGCCAATGGCTTACAGGATGCCCATGGTATCTAAGGGGAAGAGGAAAAATAGTTATTTATTTATTCTTTTGCTTCTTGTCCTGGAGCATGTCGAAAGTCTGGCTTTGTAAGTGGTGCTGGTTTTTATAGTATCATTAATTTCTTGCCCCTCAAAAAACCCCCAAAGGTAGTCCAAACAAAAAAAGTAGGAGAAAAATATGGGGCTTCTTGTTTGGTGGTTGTGGGTTCTGTTTTGTTGCAAAGGATTTTGTTCATCCTTTATCCACATGTCTATAGTTACATTTTAGAAAGAAGAAAATTTGCCTTCTGATTTTCTGGCTCTAATGTACTTGGGGCATAGAGGATCAAACAGAGTTCTGGGCCACCTCTTTGTTTATGCACACAATTTATCTGTGAAAGCTCTTCAGTAATTTTGTCCTAGGAGCTCTGCTTGTAACGCTGGTGGAGGCTACACAGCAAATGTACGTTAGAACAATTCTGTTTAACCATAGAGTCTGGGGAAAAAAAACGCAGGGGTTGCTCTCATCCCATTCTTAGAGCTTCATTGTTTGGTCTGTGTCCACTTGGCTGTCATGCTTACTGCTGGTAGCAAGAAATTCCTCTAGTGCAAGCAAAAGACTCCATGGAAAAGCTCAGCCCTCTGAGGCTGTTTTTCTTTATTGGAACCTGGTGAACCCCATGCTGTTGGAATAGGCTGCTTTAAATGTCTGAGCTAGTTCAGCATTGGCTTAGCTAAGCTGATTTTAACTTACAGTTTAAAGGAAGAAAGCCACCAAGGCTGCTGTTTCTGACCAGAAAATGTTCAGGCGGAACAGCTCATCATGTAATTTGTGACAGTACTGTTGCTTTGGATGTCAAAATGAGGAAATCAGGCTTTGCAAGTTCAGAGCAGTTTGTGTTTTGGTACCTGGGGTTATGTTGAAACATTTCTCCTCTAAAGCCTCAGAGATGTGAAATAATTTATGAAACTCTTAGGATTTAAGGGTACCCACCAGTGGATTAAAGCAGTTTAAATCTATCTTTAGAAATAAGTGCTTGTGCTGCCTTAATCCACTGATACAGAGATTCTGAAAATCACACTAAAATAAAGCCTTCAGTTCTGGGCCGTGGAATGCTGGTATCCATTGGTTTAACACGCTCTCTTCTCCCTGTTTGTGCTAGGTCTGTGGCGCGTACCTGTCCACGGACTGGAGCGAGCGCAGGCGAGGGGGGAACAAGCTGAGTTTCTTTGGAACTGGGGAGTGCTTTGTATTTAGGGTGAGTAAAATTTTATTGTCCCTACCCAGTAGCAAGGCAGAACCACTCTACTGGTGTGAATAACTCTTACTTCCCTTCCGCCTGAAGAGGCTGCAGTATACGCCCTCCTGCTTTATCAAGTCTACTGAACTCTTAAAGTAGAGGAGAAAATTTTACTTTTCAATTTTGTGGTAACTTTTTTCTCTCATTGCATAGGAAATTTTGTTAAAAGGTATAATAAGGTAACTCAAAAAACACTGCATCGTTTCTTCAATTGCCTAAACAGCAAAGGTGTAAAGAAAGAAAACATCTGGCCTAAAAGGCAGTGTGATCCAGTCTTTACCACCAGTCCTGCGGGTGGAGTCCGAAGGGCCTGAATGTTCTCTGCTGTGCGGAGCTCCCCGTGCAGTGCATGTGCAATAACCAAAGCTTTGCTCCTCTGCAGCTGCAGCCAGAAGTGGAACGCTACGAGTGGGTGATCATAAAACACCCAGAACTGGCCACAATGGGTTCGGAGCCCGAAAATCACGCCTCGCCAGCTTCCAGCACCCTCTCTTCCAGCAGGGCCCCATCAGACCCCTCAGATCGCCTTTCTCCCTTCTTGTCGGCTCGGCACTTCAACTTGCCTTCCAAAACAGCCTCCATGTTCATGGCTGGCAGCAGCGAATCCATCATTATAGGTACGTCAGCGTGAGAATTTGAGTGTATATCCTACCAGCTCCTCCTACCCGTCTTAGAGTCACCTCTATTTCCCATAATACGTATTTCAGTATCGCTACAGTTAGAGATAAAAGTGGCCAAAACCTGATATCGTTACCCAGCAAAAGTTTTCAGGGGGAAAACTTGCATATCAAGCATTTTAGAGCAAGATGGTAACTCCTAGCTTCAAGCACAGCCATACCTTCGTACTTCACACAGAACTCATTCGTGACGAGAAACAGTTCTTGAAGAGGAACTTGCTTTGCACTGAGACTTCTGAAACTCAGGATAAACTATAAAACGTGATCATTCTCTTGGAACTTTGTTGGATCTGTGGTGCTTCTGACTTTGGCAAAAGCCTGCTTAGTGAAGTTGTCACCTAACTGGGTTTTACAAGGAATGGGTATAAAATCAAAGTTGTCCTTTTTCCAAGAAGCTTTACTCAGACAGTTGCCCCCTAAGCAATAGGGGAATCGCCCTTTTTATTTTCCTAACACATTTCTGTCTGAATTTATTTCACTTCACTGCATTCTCTGGCTGTGAATCTTGACGTAGATCCACAGATAATCAAAATGCTTTTAATTCTGACGTGGTTTGTAATGATTTAGAAGACCAAGCCAATGCTTTTACTTACTGATCTTGTTCTTTTCCCACCTCTGATTTTTGACTGCTAACAGAATTTTTTGTTTTTTCTTTACTGGAGGGAAAATATGCAGTTGGTAGCTTCCAAGATCCTCCAGCACTGAAAAACAAACCTTAAATGCAGGCATTTGTGTCAGGTTCTTGTTCTTACTGACTTGCACTACTGTTTTGTTAAATTTAAAAAAAAAAAAACTCATCCAGTTCTGCTAGTGTCATTTGAAAGCTGTGCAGTTGGTCATACACTGTGACACCTAAAAGCAACACGCAAACGTCGTTTCAGGCTTCCAGTCGTGCCCGTCTGAAAAGCACTTAAGCTCTTTTTTTTTTTCTTCATTCCTTTTTTTTTTTCTTTTCTTTTTTTTTTTTTTTGCATAGCAGTTTCCCATGCTAAGAAATGCAGAAGCACCCTCACGCTTGTCTTGGTCTCTTCACAGGAGGTGGTGATGGCCAGGCTCTCTACCTCGATGCAGACCTGAACCACGGAAGAACCAGCCACTGCAATACTTTCAATAATCAGCCCTTGTGCTCTGAAAGCTTCCAGATCTCTGTCCTGGAGGTGTGGGGCTTCAGGGACACCATGAGTGGTTGACGTGACTGTCATTAATCAACTAGTCTTTTGGTTGTCCTAGGATTCCCGAGGCAAATTCTAATGCAGGAGCCAAGTTAGAACACAATTTCTGCTGGGCTCAGTGTTCTTTAGTCGTTACAAAGTGGTGCACTTCAATGCAGGGCTTAATTGTTTACTCTTAATTTTATCCAAGACAGGTCAAGGCGAAGTAACGTATCTGATTAACTCCTTAGCTCTTTACCTCTAGAGATCTGTATTCAGGTCCCGTTATCAGGTAAAAATGGAAACGTAATGATTTCAAACCATCCTAAATGGGTAAAAATCCATATCACAGTTTGCAGTTTGATGCAGTTCCTCAGAGGCACAGCACTGGCTGAGGTGTCCTGTAGAGCTGTGTGCTGCTGGCACCAGCATCTAGCTTGAGCCAATAATATCAAATGTCCGCTCACAGGGAACATTGATGACCTCAGATTTGACATAGAACAGTAGTTCATAAAATCATTGCCCTGCTACAGCGGACATCATGCGGACAAATCAGTACCACTTTCTAAGTTAGGAAAGCCCTCAATTCACAGGAGAACTGTGATTGCTACTTACCCTTCTCCTTGTACCTGAACCCTTGGCACATTCCAGTTGCATCTGTTTGAGGAGTCTGCCGCTGAGAAAGGCATCCAGACTGGACAATGATATCTCAAAGGCTTGATTTTGTTTACATTCCTATTCCATATCAGTATAATGACTTCAAACTGACTCGTGGTTCAGGCAGCTGAAAGCATATATGCAGTGCTCAGAAACTTCCCTTTCTTCATCTTCCCTGGAAGCTGAAATGGAGCTTTAAATCTGAGAATAACCATGCTGATATCCCTTCGTGTTTGGGGAATTAGACTTTGTGATACAGAAGCTTAATGCTCTCCCCACAAGTAGGTGAAGGGAGGTGGGAGGGACGTCTTCTGTGTGATACGATCCTGGGAGTGGATGAGTTTCCCAGGAGAACTCTAGGTGACCCTGTTTCTCCATATCATGCGTCTTCCCAGTGATGAGATCATGAAAAGGTAATGCTTTTTGCCAGCAGTGTTTTGGTGGGGTTTGGATGGTGCAGAGAGGCTTTTGCTCATTGCTGAGAACTCGTGAGGTTCTCTGCAAGCATGCCTTGTGGCATGTGACATCTGGAGGCAATGGCCCAGGGTCTTTATCTAAAACTGCTGTAGAACTTCTCCCATGTGAAACACAAGTACCTAAGCATCAATGGATAGTCCAGAGCACACGACAGGGTGCTCTCAAAGCTTCAGTGGGTGATTTCTTAGTAGGGAGATTTACCCCAACAGGTAAAATGAAGG